AAATATTCCCTCTGCCAACCCCCTTTGCCCTTTCTAAGTTGCTCTGGAGCTCAAGGTGACCTGATCTAGGTTGGAATGCTGGTGAAGGTAGTGGAGACTAAACTTGCAGATACTACTCTTGGAAATTATTGTACCCTGCCTTTTGTGTTGGTTTTATCTGTCTTGTCTATCAGAGTAAAGGGCCCTGAAGTTAGGAACTATATTTTTGTCTTCATGGTGTCTTCTGTATAGTTCCTAGCATACTAGATAATTCTGTAGTTCCTGGCTGAATGAATGACTCAGTGAGGCCTGGAGGCCATGAGAGTTAGGGAGTAGAATTATCAGCCCAGAAACTTGCCAATGGGCAAGAGGCTATTGAGCCATCCTGACAGCATTGCCAAGTGAGCCCCATGTGGTGCCCCCACAATTTAGTGGATCCTGTCCAAACCTCAGCAGATGGGTACTGGCTTGTATTGAGGCAAGAGAGAAGGACAGAACTGACTATACATAAGTACTACCTGGATGAGTAGAAAAATGACTTGGTTTTTTGTTTTTTTTTTTTTTTTTTTTTTTTGGGCTGTTCAGCTGAGCTCATGGAGATGGAGATGTTGGTGACTCCAGGCAGCCTCCAGCCAAAGGCACTGTCTTACTTCTTACTTAACTGAACTTTGACTTGCAGCCTAAGAGAGGTCTCCCGGAGAGGAGGACCAAATGGGGAAACTCCGTGAAACTCCTTTTGGATTACAGAGGGAGTGTTCTACTGTAGCGCAATGCACCCTGTAACAGGAAGTGTAAATTCTAGGAAAATTGGGAGGATGAGCCTATAATTAAGATTTGATACTTTTGTGTCGTGGGAATTTGTGAACATACACCAAATACCATAATTTAATTCATAGATCTGCTGAGCTAAAAGAAGGATCCAGGCTACAAGGTGAGAAGAAATTCAAAGGGCTTATGATAAAACTTGCCTCTTTGCATGTGACCCTGGTGACGGCAGCCACGTGCTCCTCACAGTTCTTGTTTTCCTCCCATTTTCCCTTGGCTCAGAAGGCAGATGCCTGCTGTTCCCTATAAATGCAAGGAGGAAAACCAAAGCACATCACACGATTTGTGTCTGAACAAATTCCTGACGTCCGTGTTTCCACGGGTCCCATGGAAGTGATGTAGCAGAAGATACATATTCCATTAAGAAATTGAGGGCTTACAAGGAAGGCACTGGGCAAGGGTTCTGCACGGAGCCCAAACTGTTTGGGCTTTCTTGGAAAGCACAAAGTTCTATGAAAAGGAGACTCTGTAAATTCAGAGATGGCCCCAAAGACCAGAGCTCTGGCCTGTTGAGAGCTGAGAAACAAGAGTGGGCCTATTGGCATTTGATTAGTGCAGACAAGTTAATAAAATAGTCGAAAGAATACACAAAGAAAGGATGCACAAGAGGGCTCTGGGGGAAGGTAAGAGGATTAAAGCTGCAAAAACATTCCTCTAATGGATTTCTCAAACACTCCAGCCCACAGGCAAGGGCAGGTGTCCCTTCAAACCATTTCCCCATGAAACCCGATCCATCATTCTGTGGTGCAGCCTGTTAACCCCATTTGGAACTGAAGGGCCTGCCCCCTAGTCCCAGTGAGGCACCCTGAGCAGCCCTGGGACTGGCCAGGAACCCAGCTTTGCAGACAAAGGGGCCTGGGAACAGGCTGGTTTCCTTCACTCGCAGCCAGCTAGTTCTCTGCATTTGCCTCATAGGGTAGCTGATTAGGCCATTACCGATCACACATCTCCAGCCCGCCCCCCTCCCCAGTCTCTTTTCTGCCTAAAAACACTTGAGAGAGGGTGCTCTGATTTTCAGATCCATCATCACTTTGTTACTCTCTCTTTGATCCTTAGTGAAACTCAACTTTTGCTCCAGCAGCCAAATTGGATGTGTTTGTCTAGTGAAGCCACAGCTAAGGCTCAAGCTCAGGAGGAACAGGGAGGGGACAGGGCCAAGGAACGAACTACTGCTTATTTGTTTGGAAGCCAGGAAGGCAGGCCTGCCAGTAGGATGCCCAGCTGGGGTGTCCTCAGTCCAGCCCACATGGGCTGTTGTGCACATGTTGGCATCAGAACAAAGGGGCAGTCTGGCCACATGGCTGACCGGTGCCCAGCTTTGTGCCTCCCCCACTGCACAGCCTTCTGTCTCCAACTTAGCAGTTGTCAGAGGGTACAGAAGGAGCCAAGAGGGACAGAGATGGGGAGGGGGCTATGTTTTGTAGTATTGGGTCTGTGAGGTGGGTGCTGGAGGAGTGTGTGCCTTGTGCTGGATAAGCTCTCAATTACAATGGGGCAAGAGCCTGGGCCATGGAGATGGCATTCTGGTGCCAAACTCCTCTCTTTCTTGTAAAATGATCTGTTAGGTTTAAGTATATCCTTGCTTGAGGCAAATTTCCTTGGAATGAAATAAAGCAAAGGAGGAGGAGGAGGGGAAAAAAACTCTTGGTGGAGTAGTTTTAGAATTTATTGGACCGTGGAAGAGACTGCTTCTTGGTGACAGGAATTTTCCAGATGCCCCTGAGCTGACAATCGCTCACAGCTCGCTTTGTGGGGAGCCTCCTGACTTGGCAGGTACAGCACACACTGTGCAGAGGAGGATTAAGGCCTTTGCATTGTTTAAGTGCATTGCTTTTGAAAACCAGTTTGCAATCTTTAGCCAGAACACGCTAAGGACAGGCCGTCCGCCCTTTTCCGTCATCCATATCTCCTTCCTCTCTGAGAAAAAACACATCCGCTGTCTTGGCTGAAAAGCTCAGCCAGGACTGGACTACATAATTTTGGGGGTCTAATATAAAATTAAAATGTGGAGTCTTGTTCAAACATTAAGAATTTGAAGACGGTGATAGAGCATTAAACCAAGCACTGGCCTCCCCTTCCGGGCCACATGGAACTACACAGATTGCACTCCCATGAAGCTGGCGTTGGGCTCAACCTTCCAAATTGTTCGTTCATTCAGCAAGGATTTAGAGAACATTTGCTATATCCTGAATATCATGCCATGGGGTTTGGGGTTGGGGCATGGAGTATAAAATTAGTATACTGCCCCTAGGAATTTACAATTTAATTGGAGTCAGATATCATATCTATAAATTTAAACAATGATAAAATAAATCTTTAAAAGCCCAGAAGGTTCTATACACACTCAAAGGAAAGAATCCATAAGCGAGATATCACCTTGCCCCACAGGTATCACTCAGCCGGGAAATTAAAAGAGAGTGCTAGAAATGAATTGGGCAGCCTGTCTGTTTTTGCCATGCCACTTGCAAACAGCATGTATTTCCTACTTCACATTCATTAGACCTATTTCGCACCTTTTCCATGACTCCAGAAATAGCTTCTCAAGAAGCAGTCTGTTTTCAAAATAACCATACTGTGTAACTGCTTTGAGGGTCCTAACTTCTAAGATAGTTCTTCGTTCGGTAATTCACCATTTACTGAGCATCTAGTTAGGCCAGGCCCTGATTAGGGTCAGAGGACACATAAACAAATAAGACTTGCCCCTAAAAAGTTCGTACTCTAGTATTGTAAGGACAATAATCCTTTCATAGAAACAAAAGGACTTTCCTATTCTGGTGTGGCTTTTCTACTGGAAAGTTCCATTAAGTGGGAAATCTGACCTCGCTGCCTGCCTTGATCCCTGGGCTCTCCTATGGTGACAGTAGTTTGTTTTTGGTAATTGCCTCTTATCTACTGTGAGAAACTTGATTCCTGCCTGCTTTCTTGCCTTCTCTGTCGCTTCTTGCCTTCTCTGGGTCTCCAGGGGAAACAACACAGGCAGGTGGAGTCTTGCAGTGGAATTGCAGTAAAAGCTCTGATGGCGTCCGTTCTCAAGAGCTGAGCTGAACACTGTGTGGTCAGCATTCAGACAGGGTGCCTCGAGGGCTTTCTAGGTATCTTTATGAAGGAGCATCCAGGTAAATATTCTCCTCTTTCTTATCTTATTCCCCTTTCATTTTACTTCTATTAGATTCAGCTACAGTCCTAAAAAACAAATCTGGAATCTTTTTTGCACAAGTGTCCAATTTTGTTCAGCAACATCAGTGCTTTGGCTCTAGTTTTGGAGAGAGTTTTGTTGTTTGAACTGTTAGATTATCTGGGAAACATCCTGCTCTTGTTCCAGGTGGATCTTCATCCTCTACCATTTTAGATTCTAGTCTTACCACCAAGCCAAGTCAGAAAAGATGGCCATTATGCTACTAGACTCTGCAGCCTGGTGTCAAGACCCTCAGGTCTCCCATATTCCATTGCCATCAGCCACATTATGGAGACCCATCTTTCCCTTAGAAAGCTCTCAGAGCATCCACAGATCTCCCACCCCAGCTTTGAGTAAGGATTAGCCATGATAGGAGAACATAGCTCCCAGGTAGCATCAGCCTTCCTGTTATAACAATGGTTGGTAACTGAGTGGAATCTCAGGCCTGTCACTTTACTATGCATGTCAGAGAAGAACCAAAGGACTTCTTTGTTTTTGCCATGCCACTTGCAAACAGCATGTATTTCTTACTTCACATTCATTAGACATATTTCACATCTTTTCTGTGACTCCAGAGATCACAATTTGCTCTCATCATTCCCTTCAGTCTCCTTTAGCTGAGTTGTGCCAGGACATTTATGCCTTGATTGCTGGCCCATCTCCAGCCAAGTTCCATAGGGCCAATGGGCCTGGTCAACTGGCCACCACGTCCCAGTGTAGAAGAGGCTGATCTGTGTCACAAGCATCTCCTCATGGAATTCTCTATACATATCCCCACTCTCCAGCTTCTGTATATCAGGTTGAACTCTGATGCACTAATGGAGGCTACACATTGCATCCTGTAAACTCCTATAGACAACAGAAGGCTGGAGGAAGGATTTGGACAGCCACGGGGAAGCCCCTCGGGGTGAGGCCCCTACAGCTGTTTATCGTGACACCAAGGGCGAAAGTCCACTCTAAAATGTTGCTTTGTCTCTCTGCTGCATTGAGGCCCAGTTGGCACCTTCCCTTCTCTCTACAGACCTCCAGGACTTCAAGTTGGATGTGCAACACGTGATTGAAGTGGATGAGGGGAACACAGCAGTCATTGCCTGCCACCTTCCAGAGAGCCATCCAAAAGCCCAGGTCCGATACAGTGTCAAGCAAGAGTGGCTAGAGGCATCCAGAGGTGAGTGAGCAAGGAGGAGCCCAGAGGCCGAGGCCAGGGATGAGGCTGACCACCTCTGGCTCCGCCTCTCCAACCCCCTCCCTCCTTAGCATGCCTGTGGCCCCCACCTCACATTGGTCAACTGTCTTCTACCTTGCTGTTTAGCCTTGTCAGGTCCTAAAGGAATTTGCTTCCATAATAGAGGTCTCCTGCCCTTTTTTTTTTTTTTAAAGATTTTATTTATTTATTCATGAAAGACACACAGAGGCAGAGACACAGGCAGAAGGAGTAGCAGGCTCCATGCAGGGAGCCCGATGTGTGACTTGATCCTGGGACTCCAGGATCACGCCCTGAGCCAAAGGCAGGCACTAAACCCCTGAGCCACCCAGGGATCCCCCTCCCCTGCCCTTTTGAGAGGAATTTCTTTATCCTTTGAGGCTCTGGAAGATGTTGCTCAGCTGTCACTATTTGATCGAGGCTGTCAGCACAGGGTTCTGGAGCCTCCCATGTGTGTGCTCCCTGCTACACACAGCAAGACTGCCTGATAAACCCAGCCGTTCGTGGAGCTGTAGTGTTCCCTGGTGGGAGGCAAAGCCCTTTCCCACATAGCACAGGAATGTTTCAAGTGGGACTTGGGTTTTTCCCTCTTCCCATCTTCCTGGTAATGCGGCTATCTCAGCTGTCCTAGCTTCCTCTTAGGCTGCGGTGTCAATGACAGCTGGGCCAGGGAAGGCCAAGCTTTGGGCCACAGAGTGCCTGGGAGGAGAAGGGGTGCCTCTCAAGATGAAATCAGCTTCTTCCCATAGCTGACCCTTCACTGGAGACCAAGTAGACCCTGCTTGACTGAATCCATAGCTCAAGATCTATTCCTTTACAAATATCCTGTAGATATTTAAATATTTTCATTAATTTTTTCTGGCCATGGAAGGAATATATGTTCCTATATTCCTATGAGGAATATATATGTTCACTGTAGAAAATACAGAAAACTATTTTTTGAAAGGTAAAACTCCTAATCCCACCACTCAGAAATAACTGGAGAGGAATAGAATATTAATCTGAGAGGACTAGAGCATTAATCTCCATTGTCCCTAGCAGAAGCTTGGCAGCAGTCTCTGGAAGAAGCCCCACAGGAGACAAGGGTTCCCCCCCCTCCCCTGTTCTGTCAGGCATTGCCTAAGCTGCTCATACGGGGGGGGGGGGGGGGGAGGCAGCCCAGTGACAGGCAGGCACCAGGCTCCATGAACCTAGATTCAGAGACAGCAGGACTCCCACGGCAGGCTGCACCACCAGAAAGCTCAGAGCTGATGGCCAGTGCTTTGCCTGCCGGGAAGCTGAACACCATGGGGTGGGGTGTCCAGAAGCCTGGACTGTCTCTTGTTGAAAAAAGCCGAATGCAGCCCTGGGGCCCCACCCCCATGGCACCTCTGGTCCTGAAGCAGACAAAGCCTAGCAAACCAGTGATGCAGATAAAGGGTTTCAGTGACATTCATGGAGAAGGTGGTGGTTGGCGGAGTTAGAATAGTCCTCCCTGCTTGCAGAAGTCCAGTAGTGAGGTGGCTCAGAGCTCTGACCCTGACAGGGACTCATGGGGAATTCTAAACTCATTTCTCTCCTTCCTGGTGGCTTGCAGGAATGATCATCTCATCTCCCACGTGTACAGCACAGGCCCCTCAATCCTTACAGCAGCTCTGAGGTGGCTCATGTCTTTTTTTTTTATAAGATTTTATTTATTTATTCATGAGAGACTCAGAGAGGCAGAGACACAGGCAGAAGGAGGAGCAGGCTCTCTGCAGGGAGCCTGACATGGGACTCGAACCCTGGATTTTGGGATCACGCCCTGAACCGAAGGCAGGGCAGAATCTCAGGGGTTTAACCAGCTTTGCCGCAATCACACTGCGCACGGCAGATCTAGAGCTTAAACCCAGGTGTAGCAGACCCCAAATCTTGCTTCCTTCCCACCCTCCTCCAGCTCCCTTAAAAGTATAAAATATTCATCCAGAGACCTGTGGACTAGCTCAGGTGGGTTAGCTAGCTGGTTTGCCGGCTAATTGGTTAGTTGTATTCTCGGCATTTCTGTCCCACTTGATCTGAGGTTTTACAGGGAGAAAAGCATTTCCAGTTTGGGCTGCTTGGGATTCAGGTGTTCGACTCATGGTTCCTGCCCTCCTGCCCACTGGGAGCTGCTGCCAGACTCATCCCATGTCCCCTTCACCCTGCCCTTTTCTCAGATAACTACCTGATCATGCCGTCAGGAAACCTCCAGATTGTGAACGCAAGCCAGGAGGATGAGGGAATGTACAAGTGTGCTGCCTACAACCCGGTGACCCAGGAAGTGAAAACCTCGGGCTCCAGTGACCGGCTCCGCGTGCGCCGTAAGGGGCCAGGGGGTGTCTCACTGACGGAAGGGGACACAGGAAGGGGGGCACAGGCTGTGCTCCAAGCCCGTTCTCTCAGGTGGGGGTGGGAGCTGGGGGGCTCGGGCCAGTGGGAGTATCCAGGACTCAGAGCGGGGGGTCCTCTCCCCTCTAGTGGCACATATCCCTTGCCTACTCTGGGGTAGCTGTGCTTGCTAGTCCCGTTCTCCTGCCTGTTGAGAGCTCTCCTTCCCTGGGAGACTTTCAGAGTGGGGATCTGTTGGGATGTGTCTGCTGGGGCCAGACGGCCTGTGCTCAGCAGTTGGCAGCACATGCATAGGAAAGACGATGATGTACTTGTGCCTATGTGAGGCCACAGAGCCTGCCTGGCCCGAGGCCCGGCTGTGCTTACACTGTCTGTGCCGCTGCGGTGAGCCCAACACCTCCCTCTGGTGATGGTCCGTGGAGGCCCACACACTCCCCCATTTGTATGAAAACAACATCTGCCTTTGCCAAGCATCTCCGGGTGCCAGGCACTTTTCTAGGCTTCCTGCTTACTCAGTAGAGGGACAGCCTACGTGGAGCTTGGTTTTAGAGGCAGCACCAGAGGCAGATGTACCGTGAAGCTAATGAAGCCAAACTACAACAGTCCCTCACTCACAGAATTTTCTGTGTGTAATTTCACATTCTGTTTCTTCAAGAGGGCCTCCCAAGCTGTAGATGTCTCAGGTCTTATAACACCAGGATCTGCCCCTGCTTGGCACACAAAGCAGAATCACACAGAGCGTGGAGGGAGGTGGCTGCCGGGGAACAGCTTGCCTTCCAATAAGTGCTGTGCTGTTTCTCCACCAGCACTGAGAAAAGATCTCTCCCTCCTTAGCTGAGCAGCCAACGAAGTAGTTGATTTGCTTTGGGGACCTGTACTACTACTGTGCGAGAAATGCATGTCTTTACACAGTAGGTCCCTTTCAGTGCAGCGAGGTGCTCACACTATGAAGGATGCTGAGATCTGAGACTCCTGGTTGCTGTGGGGGATACCATGGATCCTTGTCTCCTAGCTCATCCTCAGACTTGGGGTGCATTTGCTGAGTGCAAGCAGGAAAAGTCACCTGCACCATTTGGTTCTCTGTCCACCCCCTCATCTTTTTCTTTGCTGATGTGCGTAGTTATTCAAATGCGTGTTGTGTCAATGCTGCTGCTATTCCAGTATGTTACCACATCTCTTACAACAGCTCTCTGCAGAGAGAGGGCCTTGTTTTTATAAAGAAACCAAGGCTCAAGGGAATTAAGTAACTTGCCTCACTTTATGTAGGTTGTAAACCCCTGAAAGGCTGTTTGATTCCAAGTCCACATGGTCTGGGATTGCCTCCTGGGACCTGGCCACCTAAGGCAGGGCAGAGGGGATCTTCGGCACTGAGTCCTGGTCCCACACGCTGCCTTTCACCTCCCGGCTCCTCCAGGCTCTACTGCTGAGGCTGCTCGCATCATCTACCCCCCAGAGGCCCAGACCATCATTGTCACCAAAGGCCAGAGTCTGATTCTGGAGTGTGTGGCCAGTGGGATCCCACCCCCACGGGTCACCTGGGCCAAGGATGGGTCCAGTGTCGCCGGCTACAACAAGACACGCTTCCTGCTAAGCAACCTCCTCATCGATGCCACCAGTGAGGAGGACTCAGGGACTTATCGTTGCATGGCCGATAACGGAGTTGGGGAGCCTGGGGCAGCGGTCATCCTGTATAACGTCCAGGTATTTGGTGAGTGTCTCCTGCAGACCTCTTCTCTTTGGTCAGTGTGGTCTTCTTCGAAACTCATAACCCCAAGGCTCAGATAGGGTCAGGTGCCTTGTGAGAGGTCCCATGCCCAGGGTGTAATGGAAGAGGATAGAGAGAGTTGGGATGCTTGGGTCCCAAGGCCTCAGTGTATGGGCCTGACGTCCCTCTCTAGTCCCTTTCCTGTCATGACTGACAGACGAGGCACAGGACCTTTCCTTCCCTCTACCAATACTCACAGGAAAGGAGGGACTCACTCCTGACTATAGATCCCTCCCCAGCCTGTGTGGCCCTGGATGGGAAGACTTGGCCTTTCTCACCCCTGCTCTGGTTTCCCGGCAGAACCCCCCGAGGTCACCATGGAGCTGTCCCAGCTGGTCATCCCGTGGGGCCAGAGTGCCAAGCTCACCTGTGAGGTGCGTGGGAACCCCCCGCCCTCTGTGCTGTGGCTGAGGAACGCTGTGCCCCTCGCCTCCAGCCAGCGCCTCCGACTGTCCCGCAGGGCCCTGCGGGTGGTTAGCGTAGGGCCCGAGGATGAAGGCGTCTACCAGTGCATGGCTGAGAACGAAGTCGGAAGCGCCCATGCCGTGGTCCAGCTGAGAACCGCCAGGCCAGGTGAGTGCAGCCCGAAAGGCTGGACATTGCAGCTGCACATTCACAGAGCCCTTTCCTTGACTAAGAACCCTAATATATAAAAGAGGTAAAAGTGATTTTTAGTTGTAAGTTCAAGTTTACATTAACTTATTAGAAGGTCAAAGTGTGTACACTTTCACTTGTGAAAGTGATCCATTTAATTGTTTTATTTTTTACAAATGTTTATTTGAGAGAGAGGGAGCAAGCACATGTGAGTAGGGGGAAGGGTAGAAGAGGAGGGAGAGGGAAAGAATCCCAAGCAGACTCAGTGATGAGTGTGGAGCCAACTGAGGTCTCAGTCCCATGACCCTGAGATCATGACCTGAGCCAAAACCAAGAGTTGGATGTTCAATCACCTGAGCCACCCAGGCACCCCTTTACTGTTGTATTTTCTCAAATGCTTTTTGTTTTGTGGAATCTCTAGGTTCGTAGGGTTCCATGACACCTGGTTTAACAACCATTGTGAAAAGCAAATCCATCCCTTTCAGCCTGATTCATTTCAGTTGACACCTGTACTGGCTGAGCAATTACTTATGTCCTCAGCACCGGACTAGGTAATGTGGGGGGTGCAGAGAAAATTAACAAAGACTCAACCTCCTCATGGAGGATGCCAAACTCACCAAGGAAATGATTTGATAAAAATACGACCCCAAATAATGCTGAATCCACATGATCAGATGCCAGCCTTCTGTGGTTCAGGATGTCAGGTGGAGGGACAAGTAACATTGGCAGATTCTGCAGATGCTTCCTGAAGGACGTGTTGCCTCTCCTGGCCTCTCAGGTTCTCAGAGGGGGGTTACAGTTGGCTTTCCATCTCGCAAGGCAGGTTGCTGCCTGGTGTAGGAACAGGCCCAGACTGCATGGTGTTAAGACCCCGCAGTGAAGGGATGTGTCCCCTCCCCCAACACAGACAGAAGGAGGAGGAGGGTGCAGGGTTCCTCAGGAGTAAACAGAACATTCACTCGAGGTGAGGCTAGCGTAGGGGTTCAGGAAAACAGATTGCAGAGCTGCCTGCCTGCCACCCTTAGCCACGGCAAAAAGCCTGGGCACAGGGCCCCGAGCTGCCCATCTCCTGGCGGGGCAGTGACACAACCCTCTCTCTTCCCACAGAGCCTGGCTGCATGTGGACTGGGCTGATGGTCATCTCAGGCTCTGGGCTGTGGGCTCTTCCTATCTCTCACTTCCCTCTGCCTTCTCCCTGGGGCAACAATGCAGCCAGTGACCAGGGGAACGACATTGTCCACCTTCCCTTCTCTTTCCTTCTTGGTCCTCCAGGCACAACCCTGAGGCCATGGCGGGATGCTAAGCTGGACACTGCCACCCCTCCCGTGCTGCCCTCCAAACCCGGAAGCCCTGACCAGATGCTAAGGGGGCACCCAGGGCTTCCAAAGCCGCCGACATCGGTGCAGCCAGCTTCCCCACAGTGCCCTGAAGAGAAGGGGCAGGTGGCTCCTGCAGAAGCACCCATCATTCTCAGCTCCCCCCGGACCTCCAAGACGGACTCATATGAGCTTGTGTGGCGGCCTCGGCACGAGGGTGGTAGCCGTGCGCCGATCCTCTACTATGTGGTGAAACACCGCAAGGTACGGTGCCTGGCATTGTGTGGACTTCTTCTCAGTGAGTCTGGGCAGGGGTTTCTGGCTGCTGGCCATCTCCCCCAAGTTCCTGAAGCCTGGACCTTGACCTTTGGCCTCCTCTGCCCTACTTCCTACCACCTCCCAGGAGGATGGTTGTGAGTTGAGGCATGTGGGACCCTCAGAGGCCCAGGAAAAGTGTGTGTCACTTCAGCTCCTGTGTGCACTGGTTTCCCAGAAGCTTGGCACCCCCCACCAGCTCCTCATCCTGGGGCATAGTTAACAAATCTCCCTGTTAACCATCCCCTGCCCTCCCCTCTTCTCTCTGTCATTTGTTGTTGATGTTGTTGTTTTGTTTTTTAACCAAAGTAAGCTCTACTGGGTTACTGCATGGCAGTAACTCTGCATGGCAAGCTAGCTCTGGGGCCAGGAAAACAAATATTTATGAACAAGTGTTTTCTCTGAGGGCTATAAAACACCCCCTCAGTTTTCAGGATTCTTCATGGCTCGGCTTGGACAAGCAGGCGTGGGGTCTGAAAGCACATCGTGTTGCTCAGACCTCAGCTATTTCTCCTTGACAGAAGGAGGCCTGTCCAGGTGGATGTTTCAGGAGCTCTCAGGGAGGGAGCCTCTGGCTCTGGCAGGGTGTAGAGCCAGCTGGCCAGCCCATCCTCTTGGACACAGTGTCCTGTGAGGCAGGACAGGGCCCACAGGCGGCCCCCTTGTTCGAGGTTGTGTGCTCACCTGCTGTTACCCTCCAGGGGAGAAGGACATAAGATTTCCTTTAAAAAAATGTCCTGGAGGAGCATTTCTGTTCATCCCAGATGTGTGCTTTTTTGCTTTTTTTTTTTTTCCTAAGTCCATTAGGCAGCAGGAAATTATTGTTCTTTTTTTTTTTTTTTAGATTATGTATTTATTCATGAGAGACACACAGAGAGGCAGAGACACAGGCAGAGGGAAGAGCAGGCTCCATGCAGGGAGCCCAATATGGGACTTGATCCCAGGACCCCCAGGGATCACGCCCTGAGCCAAAGGCAGAAGCTCAACTGCTGAGCCACCCAAGTGTCCTGAAAATTATTGTTCTTAAATGGATTTTTAAAAAATGTTATTTGATAATGTGTATACATGCTATATTTTATATAGTAAAAGTATTTATCAGCTCTTCTCCCCCTCTAAAGACCAAAGCAGCCCTGTGTGGAGCAGCATGTCAGCTGTGCAGTAGCTCTTTCCCCTGCTCTGGACCCTGCCAGCCTCTCTCATTCTGATCTTTCCCTTTATGACCTTGGCTCAGGACAAGTCCATAGACACACTGGGTCGTCAGAAAGACACCTGAGGCAAAATTGCCTCCTAGGTGGGGGGGTGGGGGTAGGGATGCAGTCTCTCACTAACACTTGGCCTGCTGGCCTCTTCATAGGCAGCCAGCAAAGGGGGAGAATATATTTTTAACAAAAAGCTGCATTGTTCAGCCCAGGTTATGGGGCAGGGCCGGTCCTAATCTTTGTTTCTCTCTGTAACTAGACACCTCCATCTCAGAGTTGTAGACAGAGATCAGGGCAGGCCAAATGCTCATGGTCCCTGGGAGACAAGAACCAGTAATGAGAACAAGAATCATATTTTTCAGGCCAGTAGGTGGCCGTGAAACCGCTTCACCAAGAGGCAGGCTGGCAAAGGCCATGTGTGGCGATCCGGAAATGCCAGGCCGGGGCCACATTCACCCTGTGCGAGTGTGACAGTGACTAATGACCGTGTTATTTCTTAGTTTTGTTTCAGAGCCCAGTGTCAGTGTGGGGCCAGAGGATAAAGGGGTAGAGGGAAAGTGAGGAACTGTGCCCCTGCTGGGTCTGGCTTCAGTTAGACTCCGGCCTGTGGGGCACTTAGGACTGCTCAGTGGACATGGCCAGGGCAGAAATGATATCTCGCAAGCAGTGCCTTTCTTGAGGAACTAGCAAATCTTAAGGATTGTCACACAAGATAGGATTTCGAAGTGAAAAATCAGTTTGGACTGTGTTTGCAGCCCCCTTCTTTTGCAGGAGACTGGGAATCACTCAGATCATTTTCACTTTTTCACATTCGTGAAGCCAGTTTCACTTCGTGATACATCTGCAGACCCTGGGCTACTGTGTCTGGGTTTCTAGTACTACTGAGGATTCTCAGTTTGTAAAAACTTCTCCCCTTGGAACAAATCCTGGAAGTCTGACATAAATGAGCCCAGACCATCTCTGTCCCTTGAATAGTAGGTTTTGTTTTACTTTGGAATATTTTGCTTGAGGATAAGAGGTTTTCCTACCAGCTGTTTAATTCTTGAGCAAACCACAGCTTTAGGTCCCAGCAGACTGTGTAAAATGTGCACTGTTGGCAGTTAAGCCTTTTGTCCTGAAAGGTGGGGTAGGTGAGATGAAGAAGCTTCTAGGCATCGCCTGTGGGGGACGGAACCTGGATATATTTTTTTAAAAGAGCCAAGAATTTGGGGCCATTAAAGATTAATCCAGAATTAGTTACCATTCATCCACAGTTTTTAAGCAAGAAGCAAGGAGTGAGCACAGGAGCAGCAGAGGAGGATTGGAATGGCAGAAACCTGCCAAGTGGAGGATGTGGGCAAGTCGGGAGAAGGGGCCAGGCATTCGCTGGGAACCTGTGTGCCACGTTCAGTGCCTCACGCTTGGTATACATCATCTCATTTAACCTTCAGAAGAAGCTGAGAGCTTTTCTTTGACTCATCTTAGATTTGAAAACCTTGAGGATCAGAGAGGTCAGGGAACTTGCTCTAGGGTTACACAGCTGGTAAGAGACACAATCAGGATTTAAACCCAAGATTTTCAGGTTCCCAGATTCCTTTTCTTTCTAGGATAAGTCACGAATGGTTAGTAATGTGCTCTCTGGAGTCAAGTCATGATGTTTGTACTTATTAGCAATGTAGGTCTAGGCAAATTACTCCTTTCCCCAGGCCTTAGCATTTGTGAAGTGGGTACAAAACTAACACCTGTCTCTTGGGCTATTGTCACAAAGGTCTTTAGAGGGCCTGTGAAGTGCTTGCTTCTGCGACCAAGACTCTGTATTGGTGCTGCTGCTTTCATCATTATAATCATCATCCCAGAAGAGAAACTGTGAAGCGACTGCCTTTATTTGGTTTAAAAAGAGCAAGGAAGGAAGAAAAGTTAAATATGGAAGTTTTTAGAAATACGGAGAGGACATCTTTGGAGAAATTCTCAGCAATATAAGGTCTTTTGACCTCCCCACCGAATTTTCTTTGATGGGATGGTTAGATGAGGGACCACAGAGCCTACTTCACTGTCCCAGCAAAGATGGAAGTCCCAGAGCCAGCAGGACCAGTGTGCTCTCTGCAGTACCACCCCTCTGCTCCCAGCCCACTGGTTCTTCCTCCTGCTCTGGTGGACTCCACTCTGCTTTTTTTTTTTTTTAAGATTTTATTCATTTATTCATGAGAGAGAGAGAGAGACACAAGCAGAGGGAGAAGCAGGCTCCCTGCCGGAAGCCTGATGTGGGATTCCATCCGGGATCCCGGAATCACGCCCTGAGCCGAAGGCAGATGCTCAACCACTGAGCCACCCAGGCGTCCCTCCACTCTGCTTTTTATGCAAACCGCAGCCACCATTAGCTCCAAGCTGAGATGCCAGTTCTGATACCGGCTGTCTTCTCCAGCAGGTCACAAACTCCTCTGACAATTGGACTGTCTCCAGCATTGCAGCCAGCCAACACCGCCTGACCCTCACCAGACTTGACCCCGGGAGTTTGTATGAAGTGGAGATGGCAGCTTACAACTGTGCAGGGGAAGGCCAGACAGCCATGGTCACCTTCCGAACTGGTATGGGTCAAACACTGCCCCCATCTTGGGGTTTTATGGACCTGAGCAAATCCTGCCAGGCCCAGGTGGGAAGCCCTGCTCACCTTGCCCTATCCATTTACCTTGAACTTTATCGTCCTGTCAGCTCTTGCCTCCCCATGGTTTATGAGCCCAGGCATAGGTCCTGTGTCTCCTCAGGAGAGCTGCCAGCTGGCCTCTCTGCCCTCCCCACCTTGCGCTCATCCCCCCCCGCACACATAGACACACACACATACATGCTGGGCCCAGGCTCAGTACCATGATGGTTAAGCAGAACTGGGGATCAGACCACACAGCCAATATCCTATATTATTTGCATCACCCTTTCAGACCCCTCAGCAGAGTCTTAGGCAGAAAGAACTCTCTGGAAAGGCAGACCTAACACACGCCCCCATACTTGCTGGTCTCAACCCATTTCCATCCAGGACGGCGGCCCAAACCTGAAATCATGGCCAGCAAGGAGCAGCAGATCCAGAGAGATGATCCAGGAGCCAACCCCCAGAGCAGCAGCCAGCCAGACCACGGTCGCCTCTCTCGTAGGTCCCCAGCAGTTCAGAGGGGTGGGAGTGAGCAGGAGTCAGAACTGGAACCAAGTCCTCTGCCTCAGAAGGCTCATTGTTGCAGGTGGAATGGGGTCTTGTTCTATGGGTCCAGGAAGACTTGTGACATTTTTCCTGGCATCCATCCAGCTAACCCCAATAAGAAAACATAGATTGGAGTTTTTTCAAGGAAAACATGGTAGTCTGACAAGGTGGGTAGGGGATTGCTAAACCCTGTGGGTCCTGACAGCACAGAGGAGGGAGCCACAGACTGTAGGCCCTCCATAGTGTGATGTTGCAGAAGCATGGCCTCTAGGGGTCCTAGCTCAAGGGCTCCTTCTGGGAGAAGGTGACCCCAGTAGCCCTGGGAGATCTGATACAGCCACCAGAGGGAGAGGGCTGGGGGGAAGAACGGGCCCCAGTCAGGAACAGGTCAAGTCCATTTGCACTTCAACCACTTTATTGTGTCCCTTCTACTTCCATCCTCCCTCATGGATGGTTTCCTACAGCCCCAGAAGCTCCAGACAGGCCCACTATCTCCATGGCCTCTGAGACATCAGTGTATGTGACATGGATTCCCCGTGGAAATGGTGGCTTTCCAATCCAGTCCTTCCGGGTAGAGTACAAGAAGCTAAAGAAAGTGGGGGACTGGATTCTGGCCACCAGTGCCATCCCTCCTTCCCGGCTCTCGGTGGAGATCACTGGCCTAGAGAAAGGTAGGGGTCTGGCCACTATCCCACCTGATTCCCCATCTGTCCCCAACCCCTTGGAAGCAGTTAAAGCTTTGAGGGCTCTTCTGTCTGCCGGTCTGCCACCCGCCACCTTGCTTACATGGATGGTTTTGGTTGTGTTCCTTCCAGCCTACAAACCCTTCCTTCCCCTCCCTCTAAGAGGTCCAGAACTGTCCCTTCTGTGGCTCCTTTCTGAAGAAGATGGGAGTTCTTGTGTCCTTTGGGGACTTGTATTTGGTGAAAAGATCCCTCTAGGTTCTGGGTGTGCTCGGTGGGGGTGGATCAGAAGAGTTTTCCAGTTCCTGGGTTCAAGTGAGTTTCCCTTACCAGGCACCTCCTACAAATTCCGAGTCAGGGCTCTGAACATGCTGGGGGAAAGTGAGCCCAGTGCCCCCTCCCGGCCATATGTGGTGTCAAGCTATAGTGGCCGTGTGTACGAGAGGCCTGTGGCAGGCCCTTACATCACCTTCACTGATGCTGTCAACGAGACTACCATCATGCTCAAGTGGATGGTAAGTGGCCTCGCATAGAGTGCAACGGGGAGGTGGGGCTGAGCTTCGAGATGATAGAGGCTGGCTGCTGCAGCAGGCAGGAAGGAATCACTTTTCTGTTCTCCCTTCTAAGACCCTTTCCCTTAAGTGGTCACCCCCTGCCCTGCCCCCAACCCAACCCCCATACCTGGGAATTGAGCCAAGAGACTCATCCTTACAGTACCCAGGCAGGTTCAGAGGGGACTTACATCTTTGGAGTAAGTAAGAGACTAGAAACAGTCTCTAAGAGCTGGGGCACTTTTAGGGTAAATAACAGTGATCTTCACAGCCTTCCCCGAGAAAGCCTTGGAGATCTTGTCAGAAATATTTGTCAGGCTCCCTCTGTGAATTTTTATACTCTAAGCTGGGGTCCAATTTCTGTCCACCAGTGGTTCTGCTCACATGATTTCTCTACTCCATTGTCAACTTGCTTCTTCTCCATTCCCTATAGTATATCCCAGCAAGTAACAACAACACCCCTATCCATGGCTTTTATATCTATTATCGACCCACAGACAGTGACAATGATAGTGACTACAAGAAGGATATGGTGGAAGGTAAGAAGCACTTTGGGTGATACGGTTTTCTCTGTTAACAATGAGGGTCTAGGTGTTTGTGAAAGTATAAAACCTGGGCTGGGGACACTGGGTGGCTCAGTGGTTGAATATCTGCCTTCAGCTTAGAGCATGATCCCAGGGTCCTGGGATCAAGTCCCTCCTCAGGCTCCCTGCATGGAGCCTGCTTCTCCCTCTGCCTGTGTCTCTGCCTTTCTCTGTGTGTCTCTCATGAATAAATAAAATCTTTTAAAAATATAAAAAATATAAAAAAATAAAACCTGGGCTGCCGTGACATAAAGCATCTGTGCACATATCATTGACACATGCTATAGTTAGGGTCACCGAGATCAAAAGTCCACATGCTTCCTTCCCATGGAGATGGGACAACAGGAATTTGGGTGGCACCTAGAACATTTCCTCCAGTGCTTCTCCAGCCCAGGGCATCCTGTTGCATTCCTGGCACCAGCCTGGACACACACCCCTGTCCGAGGCTGACTGGGAAGGTTCCAGACAGACCAGATGCGTATTCCTATATGTGACTTCCTTGCTGTCTCTTCCAGGGGATAGATACTGGCACTCCATCAGCCACCTGCAGCCAGAGACCTCCTACGACATTAAGATGCAGTGCTTCAATGAGGGAGGGGAGAGTGAGTTCAGCAACGTGATGATCTGTGAAACCAAAGGTAATTGTCTTTAGGTTCTCTGCTTTCCTCTTGCTATTTTTAGCCAGCTAGGAAAAGTCACTGTTCCATGTAGCATGCTGATATCTCTTCCCCATGAAGACTCCTTATTTTCCAAGTACCCGTTTGTCATCTTCTGCTCATTTGCCTGTGCCTCAAGTGTGAATAGGGCTGCCATCATGATGGCTTCCAGGAACTGGGGAGTTAACTCCTACATGATGAACTCATGGATTAGAACCCATTCTTAATGTCAGAACTCTCTATAAACACTATGCTCCTGTAACATTTGGTACTTACATTGAGGTTGTAGTTAAATTCAGTAAACCAACCAGAGAGAGAAAAGGAACTGAGCATCAGGAAATGATGTATCTCCACCAAGGTCACTTAGCGAGTTAGGGGTGGAGCACACTTTGGGCACAGTGCATTAACTACAAGCCCGGATTCCTTCTCTGCACTAAAACATGTTAAACATCTTCACATATAATAACTTAATATTTGCACATTGGTCAAGTGGATAGATATCACCATCTCCATTTTGCAAATACTGAAAATGTATAACATAAGAATGTTGCAGAGAACTTAATCAGGAGAGGATCACAAAAGAATAGGAAGGGAGATGAGAAAATAATGCATTTTCTTGACATTGGCAACATTGTCTCTCTGGCTTTGTGCAGCTTTCAATCACCTATTCAGTAAATACTAAGTGCCTCCTGTGTGCACCCCAGCCCTCTTTTGTCATGTCCAGTGGAGAATACTGCACAACCAGAGTCCCCTATCAAGTGATACACCAAGTGCCCAGGGCAGAGATCAGAGACCACGAAGGTTCCACACTGGTCTGGAAGGCTTGAATCTTTAGGCTGGACCAAGGAGGGACCATCCTGGGGGACAGGGCCAGCCAGCAAATAGCTCCAGGTGGTTAGAGGATGTGGCCTCTAGAAAGGGAATGCCCAGGGAAGGGCATGGGTGGGCTGTGGGCATTGGATCATTGAGGACTCTGTGTCCGTGAGGTTGAAAAGCTCACAGGAATCTCTGCAGCAGTGGGCAGGGGGAGCGCGTGGGAGCTGTGAAGTCCAGGCAAGGAGAAGGGACAGGTTGGAGACCCTTTTGAGGAAGCGTCGGTGGACCAGGGGCTGTTAGCACATCGGGCCGGGGGGAGAGGGAAGGGAGCCTAGCATAAAGGACAGATGGATGATGTTGCCATTTATTGAAATGGGGGAGCCAGAAGAACAGCAGAGCCCAGGATGAAGGAAGGAACAAGGCGAGGCCACTCAGAGACTTCCTGGGGCTGTTTCTCCGGAGACCCTGAGGGAGAAGCGGGTCTCCTAGCGGGGAAGAGCCGTGGACACAGGCCCTTGGCTGCCATCAGGACGCAGGACAGAGTGGGGAGAGTGTGGCCCCAGAGGGACGAGGAGGCCTCCCAGTTCTGAGGAGGCAGACAAATGTAAGCAGCAGCCCTGGGAGAGGTAGCGGGAAATCACCGACTGTGCTGTCAGAGTAGAGGTAGAGGACAGCTGTGAACAGGAGTGAACAGGTCACATACAGCCTGGTAATAGCACGACCCAGAGGACAGCTTGCCATCTTGTCGCAGAATTGGTGTCTCGCAATTACTGCCTCTCCCAGAGTCCCCTACCTCCGCTTCACTCCTGCCCCAAAGCCAGGCTCAGATCTAGTCCTTTGCATCCCTTATTTTTCCCAGGAGTAGCAAATCCATGGGTAAACTCTGCCATTCCCAGTTCTTTTGCTGGTTTCGTGCATTTTTTTTTAAAGACTGTCTTCCAAAGGTTCACTAGCTTTCTTTGGGAAAAGCCCTTCACCTTTCCCGCTCAGAAGACGCAGCCTGAAACCAGTGCTAGACTCACAAACATCTCAGAGTGTATTTTGAAATGGAAGGTTCCGCTCTCTTTGACCATGCCAAATCTGCCATTCAAGGCCAGCCTCGTGCTGAGCTTGGACACCACACTCATCTACTACTGAGTTCTGAGGCCCTGCCTTGTGAGTTTGACCCCATTTCCCACTCCCATGGAATCAGGTTTGTTGTTGGTGTTTTCTGTTTGTAGTGAGAGAGATGTCGAAGAATAGATACTGAGGTGAGTTTTGTCCACAATTACAGCTCGGAAGTCTTCTGGTCAGCCTGGTCGTCTCCCACCCCCAACTCTGGCCCCACCTCAGCTGCCACCCCCTGAAACCATAGAGCGGCCGGTCGGCACCGGGGCCATGGTGGCACGCTCCAGTGACCTGCCCTACCTGATTGTTGGGGTCGTCCTGGGCTCTATCGTCCTCATCATTGTCGCCTTCATCCCCTTCTGTTTGTGGAGGGCCTGGTCTAAGCAAAGTGAGTGACTCTCCCCCCGCCTACCACCTCAGCACCAAGGGAAGGAGCCTCGTGGGGGATGAGGGGCCTCCCAGCCTGCCAACAAGGCCTTCACCCAGGGCAGGATCAGAGGTGCCCTGCTTCACATTCACTAGAGCGTCCCCACAGGGCTCAGAGAGAGAAAAATACTCCCAAGTCTGGGCCCTTTCCTCCCAGTTTATGGATCTTGGCAAATGGAAAGTATGCAGTGGAGAGTGTTCTGGCCTCTGCGTCTCTGGAACTCAGTACTTATCTGGCTCCAACTCCTTTTAATGTCTGAAGCTGCTGCTCCGACCACACGTTCATGTTGAAAATAGACCCCACCTCTTCCCTGTCACTTCTCTGGGTCTGTGGACGCATTGGGCTTTCTCCCTTTCCCTGTTATCCACTCATCTCTGCTTCAAATGACAATACATCCCGTCAACTTGCCTCATTTAAATAGTTTCTTCTGTTGACTCACCACTTCTTTTCCCCAAACTTGTGCTGATATATCTCCTCACCCTTCTCCCCACTGCAGAAGAGTCTAGATGGTAGGAGAAATGGGTGACTGAGAACATTCTCATCCCTGGGGCAGTGTCAGAAGTTTTCTGAGATTTCTATGGTACTGGAGGCTGCCCTGGACCTCCTGGGCCTGAGCATACCTGTGTCCTTCTGTGTCCTTCCAGAACATACAACAGACCTGGGTTTTCCTCGAAGTGCCCTTCTGTCCTCCTCCTGCCAATACACTATGGTACCACTGGGAGGACTCCCAGGCCACCAAGCCAATGGGCAGCCCTACCTCAGTGGCACCAGTAGACGGGCCTGTGCCAATGGGATCCATGTGAATAGGGGCTGCCCTGCAGCTGCCATGGGCTACCCAGGCGTGAAACCTCAGCAACACTGCCCAGGGGTGCTTCAGCAGGTAACACAGCCCTGGGAATGTGGGCAAATAGGTGCGAGCCAGCACAGGGGAGTACTGGGGCTGCCTCCTGGGGCTTTCTTCCTTCCAGCCTCTAATCCTGGGCTACTGGGTCTGGCTTCCTTAGTCAGGAACAGCTCATTCTGTTGAACACTGAACAGGAAAGTTACCTGGACTCCGATGTGACCTTTTTGTTACTCTTTCTCTTGAGCAGCAGGATGACACCAGCAGCCTGCTAAAGCAGACCATTCTTGGCACTGAATATGACCACACCAGTCACCAGGTTACCAGGTAACTGGGCCTCTCCCCTCCCTGCCTTCTGCTCCAGAGCTTACCCTAAGCCCAATCTCAGTCACTGAGAGGAACAGGGCGAGGCACATCCCACAACCTGCTCCACTGGACTCCCTTCCTTAGGAGGTGTGTTGGCCATTATAATGTGCTTTCTGCATTGGGGACTGGGTTGGCCCGTTAGAAGTCCTTCCTCACTTGTCAGGCCAGAGCAGCCATTTTCAGCTGGCTCTGTCCATAGGCTCCTGGACACCTGACTGCACATCCTTTCATGCATTCAGGAAATAGACTAGAATTATCCATGGAAGTGGTGGTATGACACCTAATGTTCAAAGGGGAGCAGTCCCTGCCCCATCTGAGCCCTGACTGGCTCTGATGCCCTGAGACAGGGAAGCAGCCAGGGTAGTGGGGATACAGACCTACTCTGCCTCCACTTCACTTCTCTATCTGGTCTCATGCCTGCAGGGGTCCCAAGTCAAGTCCAGATGAGGGCTCTTTCTTATATACGCTGCCTGATGACTCAACTCACCAGCTGCTCCAGCCTCACCAAGACTGCCACCACCTCCTGGAGCGGCCTGCGGCCACAGGCCAGTCAGTCATGAGGAATGTACCCCCGAGTCCTGGGCTGGAAGCAACGTGGGACCCTCTCTTTCACCGAGGTTGGTGCCAGGGGCAGGGTGGGAAATTGAACAGACTGGGGCTGACATGAAGGAGGTGTCCACAACCCAGCAGTGGCCTAGAGAGGGGGAGGTAACCTTCCTCAAAGGTGGTGTTAAGAGCCATCCACAGCTTTTGGATGGGGGAGTGAGAGACCTGGTCCGACAGGTCCGTGGGGGCGATCTGGTTGGGTCCAACTCTAGCATGGCAAGCTGTGTCCTCAATAGCTGAGAAAAGGACACACCCCCATTTCAGAGAAAGCAAACCTTTTGGTCTCAACATTTCATGACCATTCACAGATTCCTGCTGCCTCTCATCACACCAAGAGGCATTCTCTAATCACTCCAAATACCTTGCTGTGTTGGGTCTTGTCTCTTAATTAGGAAGATGATATCAGTCATTAAGCAGCCTAGTTCTCACATCATTGTCATAACTGTGCTTCCACAGAACCTTTTCTACAAGGGCCTCAATGCACACTGCCCATCCTTCAGTGTTCCTTTGTTCCAGGCTCTTGGAAATCAATCAGTGGATGCTTGATTGGAGGCATAGGCTGGTTCGGACAATTGGCTAATGCTTCTTAGCTTCTGTGGCATGTGTCCGTTCACATGCAGATCCTAGACCCTGTCTCTGGGAGATAAAATTCTAAGACAGGTGCCTCCTAGAGTCAGACCCCAGCATCACCAAAACTGGACTCCCTCAGGTGGGATGATGATGCCCAGAGAAATCATACTGGAAGGGTAGAGTAGCAGTTTAAATCTGGAAATAACAGGGCTTTCTTCCACATCTCAAGGGCTCAGCTGACTTCCATCTGCTTTAGGGTATAGGTGCTTAGTGCTTGCGAGTCTCTGTGGTGGGACATGGGTACTAGTGGCCCATCCCATATATCTGAGACGTCAGAGCAAACTGTCCTTGCCATAGTCCTGTATTTCTGTCTTTTCTTTAGAGCAAGTCTAACCCAGTACTCCTGAGCAACGGCTCCTGGTTAGTCTGGATTTTAATGTTTCCCACTTTTCTCCTCCTCAGGGCCCCCATGCTGCTTGGGCCTTGTACCAGTTGAAGAAGTGGACAGTCCTAACTCCTGCCAAATGGGTGGAGGAGACTGGCGTTCCCAGCACCCCACAGGGGCCTACACAGGGCAGGAACTTGGGATGCGGCTCTCCCCCAGCCCGCCGGTGCATATATCTTTTGAAACACCACCTCCTACAATGTAGGCAGAAACCAATATCCCAGAAAGACTATATATTGTTTTTAAAAAGAGACAGAGAAAATTGGTATTTATTTTTCTATAATAGTCATATTTATATATTTATGCACTTGTAAATAAATGTATATGTGTTTTTATAATTCTGGAGAGACGCAGAGAATCCTACCCAGTTGAGGTATGAGAGGGAAATCAAAGATGCCACAATAACAGGATTCAGCCTGGCAAGAGTAACAGACGGGTCCGAACAGACTGTGAGAAGGCAGCAGAAAGCCCCCAGAGAAGCTGATGAGAGGATGAGCCTTAGGTATACTGTCTACGATGACAAGGAGGGAAAAGCCACAGGATCTCAGGCTGGAGATACTCATGAAGACAGCCAGACCTGGTACTACAGGAAACGTTTTCAGAAGATGCCCGTGAGAATAGACTAAGATGTGTATAGTCCTATTAGCATTAACAAACCTTCCAGAATCAATAATCTGTGGCAACCTATCTCTGTAAAAACAAACACTGTAATTTCTAAATAAATGTTTAGTCTTCCCTGTAACGTTCAACTTAGTCATGTATGAGTCAGCATCCTCTTTATAGGTTTTAGGATTCAGTTTTTTGAGTTTTTGAAGAAAGTCTCCCCTTGTGACATTTTTCAGTTCTGTCAAGAGTCTGAGATCAGGAAGAGGTAGCGGATGTCTAATTCTTTAGGTATTATGTTGGTAACCGTTTTGGCCAAGAGAGATTCAGCATGAAGCAGGCAAGGAGAAGCAGATTCGCAGTTCTCTTACTGAATGGACTTGAGGTAAAGCTTTGGTCATAGAGAGATGTGTGGAAGATCTCCAAAATATTTAGTTGAATGCTATGTTGCACATGTGGTGCCTGATAAAATTCACTTTCCTTTTTTCCAAAGATAGATCAGCACTGCCAGAGGAGTTGACTCACTAGTTGTTTAAAATCAACATTTACTTACGTCTATACAACCACAGGATCAACCTTCATACGTGCAGCTGGCACTAGCTGGGGCCTGAAGCTTTGCAACGAAAGCCCTAACATTCAGACTGTTCCCAGGAGGGAAAAATATATGTTGTGAGATTTCAGCGAAGGTGAGTTACAGATGGAATGCCCCTGGAGACTCTCAAGTCTGGTTAAGTGAGTCATGGAGGCAGATGTTACAGGCTAGTCACCAGTGGGAGAAACAAGATTCCAGGCCAAGTGCACCCTCTACTGGTCAGAAGAGATACCGAGCCTGCGCCTAGCTTGTATCACATGCTTTTTCTGTCCAACAGCTAAATTGGAAAAAGAGCTCTCATCTTACGACATGATCTTCAGAAAAGTTGTATTTAATATTTTAAGAAATAAAATGAAGGACTGTAAGGAACATGGAAATGATAGAAGAAATAATATGTAACTTCAGCCATGACCTTGCACTGGGGACCTAAAAGTCACTTCAGGAGTGGGACAGGGCCAACTACTAACAATCTTAACTCCGCTAATCCAGGGCCTCTTGGAGCTGCGCTGTAACTCACCTCATAGTCCATGGGCTTTAAATTTCATTGTATTTTTTCTTGTCTTTTCTTCCTTGATAATCCTAGGTAGTTGTCAAAGTGAATTCTGGTGAACTTTATGGAAGTGATATGTAAAATTGCTTTCTGCACAGCCCTGGAACCGTAACAATATTGAATGGTTTTAGCTCTCAAAAAAATATTTTTAGGAAAGAAAAATCACTTCTAAGGTACATTAAGTGAGATGAATATGCATATTTACCTTAGCCAATTGAAGGAAAAGAGGAAAAGTATCAGGCCTCTAAATTTTAGCCTAGAAAATTAAATACATACTCGAGTTCATTGTATTTTATATTTCTTTAGACTCGGATTATTACAGTGCCTTTTGAAAGCCTGATTCAGCCATGCAAAGGCCGTATAATTTACCGAAGGAAGAGTAAGAGCTAGTAGGCAGGTGCCAATGGTGGTACAGAGCCCAGTGCCAAAAGACTTTTGCACAGGACAGCCAGACTTGGCAACAATGAGTAAATGTGACAGAAGGGCCTCCACTCTACAGCTTCTTTTTCTTCCAGTATTGGGCTTTGATGATACTGTGGACAAGAGTTCAGAATAGCCAAATTATGTTAGCAGTTGACCCAGAGGTCAACTCAGTGTAGACAGATTTTGGCCTCACTCTGAGGAGTAAGGCAGCTTTCTCTAAGACACAGCTAGAAGCAGAAAATAATTTGATCAGGGGAGCAGGAGTGAATGGAAAGGCTGATACTAAACTACAGACTTAAGACTAAGTCTGGAATCAAGTAGAAATGAAACTAAAGCTATCCATAGGTCTTGTCCAATTCAAAATAAAAAACAACTTGAGTGTTAACTATATATAACTATATATTATCAAACCTACAGGATGAAGGCCTGCATATTGTGGACTTAAGTGGTGATTTAGTCTTGGCTCAATTCTGGGGGGAATAATATCCTGACTGTAAAACCAATCAGGAAAAAAAAAAAACGGAGTTGAAAAACTCAGAGAATCTTTGCTGTGGCCCTTCCATAGACTCTACAGTCATTCTTGCTGCAATTAGAATCACAGAATTTCAGAATGGGAAAGAGATTTAGAGCTTATCCAAATCCTTCATTTGTTAGATAATAAAATGAAGCCCAGGAAGATTACGTAACTTCCTCGGGCTCCCACTACCACCTAGGGAATGGTGTCTCCCTGGAGACCAACCACTTTATCCAGGCAGTTGCTCATTGCGGTAGCCAGCCAGTGAGGAACGGAAGCCTCCTGCCAAACAGCCGACTGAGTGAGTCTGGAAGTAGCCCTTCCAGTGCCAGCCAAGCTGCACATGGCTGTGGCCCCAGCTCACAGCTTGACCATAACCTCGTGAGACTCTGAGTCCAAAGCAGGCAGTTAAGCTGCTCCCAGATTCCTGACCCTCAGAAACTGGGTAAGTCCTTGTTTTACGTAATATTTGGGGATAACTATTCATGCAGCAATAAATAAGTAACCCTCAAAGCTATGACGACCACATTTTTTTTTAAATGCTTGGGGGACACACATAGTATAGGGCAGAGAAGTTACATACCTCTACTACAACACCAGAGATTTAAGCTAACAGGCACAAACTATTCAGATCTTTTAAATAGGAACATGAAAGAATCTTCAAAAGGAAGGAAGTCCTTTCTAATCTGGCAGGGACACATCAGCAGGCTAGTCACGGAAGACTTGATGTTGCTGGGTCACTTTCTACATTGATGTAATATTGCCTTTCTCACCTTTCCTTCTCTGGGACGAGGTTCTGTTGTGGGACGGTTCAGTGAAGAAGCTCATTCATATTGACCTATGGAACTCTGAATCTAAAGTGCTAAGCTCTGTTACTAACAAACAGGGATGCAAATATCAGGGAGATCATTGGTACAGCAATAATGGGTACAGCAGTAAATCCCCATGACCAGTTACCCCCAAACGAAAAGGACAATCAGTTTTAAAATGTTATGCACAATCAAGAGTGATTGCTAGGGATGGTCTCTCAGAGTGACATAACCTGTCAGTACTTCTGGATCTGTATCAGAAACAACAAATGACTCCCATTAGACCCCTAAAGAAAGAAAATGCATAGGACATGAGAAACTCTGGAAACATTTAGAATAGTGGTAGAGCTGCAGACACCTTCAGAGTAAAGCCTCCTTGCTGACCATTTTTGCCAAACACAGTCCTCTGCTCCATTCATAGCTGGACTTTGCTGAAGCCAGGGGTGATTCAGGAAGCTGGGTACTCTCCTGCTTTCTGCCAATCCAAAGCTAACTGCCCTTTCCACATTTCCTGCATCCTGAGCCCTCAAGTAATTGCTCTGTGAAGTTAACAATGTCAGAATTCTGATTTGCATCTTAGTCTAAGATACTGTTGGCAGACTAGCTTGTGCTTTTCTTTTTTGTTCTCTCAGAGAACACTGAACATGAGAGTTTATTTTCCAAGGCCTGTAAAAAAGCAAATTTTCTCACAGATTCCCCCCACCCCACCCCCCGCCCCGATGGCTAAAAATTCAGATAAACAAGAGACATATTTCCTAAAACAAGATGTATTGCAGATGCTTTCTTACAGTTTTGAGATACGGCCTTCTGAGGCTCCATACTCAATCCATTGGGTTCCAAACAAACCTAAAATGGTTAAGTTCAAGAGGAAATAGATGTTGGGTCTATTCTAAGATGATCAAATTGGAGAAAAGTTATTAAAACTGTATGACTGAATCTGGTCTTAGACTATTAAATAAGTTTAAGACAATAGGATTGCTGCAGGTGGCAAGGAAACAACTTCCGGTAAGTTGTGTGTCGTTAATCTTGGATGGATTTCAGCAAGAAGCAAACTTAAAGACCCATGGGGTTCATCTCCTTCTCTTGTGGAGGCTGAATGGGCGGGAGGATGAGACCGCCTTTCTTACGCAAGAGAGCAATCTCTTCCTTTAAGGCCAAAATCCTTTCTGCCTGGAGTTGGATCAGTTCAGCGACCTTCTCTTTTGCCACAATGTCTGCTTTCCGAGGGCCCTGGAAGGCATTGCCCTGTTGAAAGAAAACACCTCCCTGCTTTCAGCATCACTCGGAATGTGAAAGATTCCCCATTCTTCCTTTAGGGGTGCCTATCTTACAGTCAACTTAAACACCCCTTGCTCCTTATTTTAAGGGGCCTTCAATTCTTCCATTGAAATCCTACCATTAGAAATGTTGCCCCTCTGGCCTAATGAGTAGCTCTTAAAATGAAAATCCCATCAAGCTAGCTATCCATCATTCCTACTGTAGAGGGTGCAGCACTCATAAAGGACAAGGTACCGCCTTTTTCTATGCAGCCCATATTTTGTTTTCCAAAAAGGAAATCTCTTTATTTCCTCATCCAGTCCCTCCCTTTGTCCAGCCAACTCCTGCTCATGCTTCAGACATCACGTTTAGGCATCCTTTGTCCTGTGGACTAGATTAGGATTTCCTGTTCTATGGTCTTTCAGAACATCCATCACATTATCACTGTGATTATGAGATTGAACCATTTAAGTTTATATCTGCGACTCGTTTTTAGGTTGAAAAAATAGGCAGTTTCATATATAGTTCAACCTAAATGCCTGTTTGAGGTCTTTCTTGCAAGATCTTGTGCCTTTAAGAGATAGGTGGCTCTTACCACTCTACCCAGCACCTTCCTGGAGCATGTTACCATAAGTATAGGCTCAAAAAGCTTTGAACGCACATTTAAGAGAAGAATATAACAATATAGTATCTGCTCTGCTTAGAGCTGAGGCAGCCATCATGTGACTTTGAAAGAAACACCAAAGAATCACTGAGAGAATCAGAGAGATACTAGCCCTGGCATTACAGACCCACTAAACCCCAAACCGTCAGTCATTACCTCCAGACTTCTTGTTAAACAAATAAGGGTCATTTTCCTCACTTAAGTTACTCTCCAAAGGTCTTTTAGCTACTTGTAGCTAAACCCATGCATCAGCTCATAGCATCGCTCCAGCTAGTCACTTTGAAGTCACCTTAACTTTCCCTTAACTTTAGACCATTTCTAGGATGCTTAAAGAAAACAAAGAAAAGGGAAACAATGGGCATTTTTGCAAATACTCTTGTAAGAATATGACATTTTAAAATGTCATATATGTGTTAGGTTCCTAGAGGTCACCTCACCCAGTGAACCTTAAACCAGGTGAACCTGTATGAAATAAGTTATCCACCATATACTATGTATTATGTCAGGCTCAATAAATATTATATAAGAAAAATTTAAAAGCCATAAAAAGTAACAAGTGTTTTAATAAGGTAACATGAGATCCTACAATTACGGATACCCACTTTAAATCAAATGAAATAAATATTAGGAATGGGTCTTTGACACCAAATTTAGGGATTATGTTGGTGTCATTTGTACCTAAATAACCTTACTTCTCCAAGGCTAAGACAAACTCCATAGATTAGTACATATGTAAATTCGTGGTACCCAAAAGGCGTACAATAAAGTTAGCCCCTCAGGCTCATTTATAAAGTAGGTTCTGGCAACTTCATGTCCTCAGGGACCCAGGTGGACTGGAAGAGGTCCAGGATCAAGGTTTGTTTAAATACTAGCACTTGTTATTCTTGTGAATAGCTAACTTTACAGAGCTTCCCCAACTCTGACAAATGGTCTGAAGAAAAGAAACATACCTGCTGGTTCTGTAATGTATTCAGTCGAGAATCAAGTTTCTTCTTTTCAATGCATAAATCATTCATCTGATGAAGCTTTTTGGTGTGTTCCTTTGTCTTCATCATCAACTCCCATCGCACTTGAGCAATCTTTTCCTGCCAGGGCGGGAAGATGCAAAATGAGTAAGAGAAGAAACAGAAAAATACATGTCCAGATTTGATCAAGCCATTCAGCAAATATGCATATGGAAAAATAGAAATCAATATGAAAATGCAATCAGAGCCAACTGCATTGGCTCTGGCTCAATTAGAGAAGAAGAATGTAGGTATGCTCGGGGATACAAGGAGGTAAAAATAAGGCATAGAAGCGCTTCATTGTCGAAGAATGAAATCAGTACGCATAGCAAATGTTGCTATGCATTACTTTAAAGGAAGAGTATTAATTTAAGCAGCAAACTTTCATATATTGTTCTTTCCCCAGTCTTGGCCCAGGATTCTCAAGTAGCCAGCTTGAACAGCCATATGCCTCCTAGTGGGTTGTCTTTGTTCTCTTACTGCTCCAAAAAAAATTTTATACCGTACATATTATCTCCAGCATGCCCCTGAAAATCTTGGATAAGCAAACATGAGACAAGATAACACTACGAACCTCCTTCCCACCCCATCTACTGATGAGATCAGACAAAAACTGGAGGTGTCACAATGACTTGGGAGCTTATAAAACCTTTATAAAAGCTCCTATCTTTGAATCTGGCTCTAACGGGCACCGCCTTATCTTATAGCTCAGGGAACAATGTAGGCATTAACATCTTCTAGGACCCTACCAGTTAACGAGTCCATACCTGGTTATAGAATCTATTGCTTAGAGAGATTTTCTAATTTCCAGATCTGAACAGCATGCAAAAGCTATAGGGAATACTACAGTTGGGATCTCAGGGCATAGTGAGTGATTCCATCTCTAACACAGAGCATTTATTTGTATATTAATGTAGATCTCAAAGTGGAATCTTTGTCATTATCCATGCCATTGTGTCATATTTCCATGTACCCAGGACCCCAAAACCTGGTGCTGGTGCTTTCACCCCAAGACAGGCAAGTCCCTTTAACTAAGTGAATGATAAGAATGCTGAGACAGGCTTAAGATCATGGGGGAACCCAGCAGGGCTCACAGACTCGTCTCCGGCTGCACAGATGCTACACAGGAACCACTGACAGCATTTCTTGCCTCAGCCCATGTTCAGCCAAGGTGCATCACCTGTGGCTCTCAGCCATACCTCCCACATCTTCATTTCCTTTGCATTCAGTAGCTCCTTTTGAATTTTTCTGATCTTTAGCTCTTCAAGTGTAGTATTCACGGAAAGTGTCTGAAGGGCTTCTAGGTCGATCACACGGCCAAACTTGCTGATCATTAGTTGGCGGACCGTTTCTTCCATTTCTAAAAGAAGACATCACTGTCTTAGGTTGTTCAGTGGCTCCCATTGATATTAAATGAACCATACGAGTAGCAACAACATTCCAAAGAACAACTTTTGCAAGAGGATGGAAAAGATTTTATGTTACCAGTTGATTTTTCCTCTGTGACTCTTCACCTGCTCCTTTCCTCACTTAAAATGCCTATTCCTGTGTCATCGTTTCATCTACTTGAAAATCCTATGTAAAGCAGACCCCGCTTTCCCGATAGCTTCCATGCTCTGCTGTGCCCCTCCTCAGACTGTTAACAGGTCCCAATTGAACTAGGAGCTCTTCAGATTTTTTTTCATTATTACTGATCTCTATAACATCTAGTGTTAAGAACAAAGCAGGCACCTAGAGGAAATTTCTATCGTACTCCAAGTAAAAATTAAAGTCTGATTCTCAAACATTCCAGGCTCACTCTCATCTCAGTTCCCACTGACTGGAATGTTCTTCCCCAAATAGCCATATGGATCCCTCTTGGCAGCACATTTTCTGAAAGCAAGTTGTAAAATGGGTATAAGGCTCATTCCAATACACTCAGTTCTGAGGGGTAACCAAGAGCAGGTCCTTGCCCTCTAACCAGGAAAGAACACACCTTACCAGGTATGCCACATTTCCAGGGAGCAGTTCCTTGCTCCTACGGACCCAATCATTCTCCTTTCCAGTCCCTTGTTAATTTTTTTCTCTTAGCAACGCTCTCCATCTAACATGCAATATATCTTACTTTTGTTTACTGTCTTTCCTCAACATGAAAACACAGTAACATCTGGGGGAAATTCCATTTGTGGGGTCTGAGGTCCCCAAGAAAATGTAACCTTGCAACAAGACTTTCTCAGTCTCCAGACTGTCCCCCAAGTGAAGTCTGAGGCCCTAAAGTATCATAAAATGATACAATTATGCAATGGTGTGGAAGTTTGTATTCTGACATCATTGTTGCAGTTGAAAATAATGGTATAACTGGTATGGCTGCTATTGTGCATGATCCAAGGAGGGGCTATTCACTTGTATGTGAGTGCAGTCCCCATGGACTTGTCTAATGTGGAGACCATGATAATCAGTGACGCAAAAACAAAATGATGGTTAAGATTATTTGCAAATGTGTGCTAGTCTGTGGCTGCCTGCTTGGCCTCTCAGTAAGAACTTTAACTCCCTCCAGCTAGTGTCCTCTCCATCACAACTTCATGTACTATGACATGGACTCTGGTCCTTGCCATTCCCCCTGTGGAGTCAGCCTAACACCCTTCTCCTGACTTGATTATGCCAACTAGTGTTCACTGGGCACATAAAGCCTTCTGGAATGTTTGCCATGTGCCTTCTCCATGGCTGAGAGCTGTGTTCTCCTTGGAATGAAGTGAACATACCCCTTTCTCACCACCATGTTCTTGACTCTCCTCTTCTTGCTCACTAGGTCTTTGGAGGGAGAAAGGCAATAACAAGCGAACTGTGGTGTTTCTCATTACTGCTAAGCCTTTGTTCTTTGGCTAACAGAAAAGGAAGTCACTCTTAGATCATCTTCGGAGATCCATCTTTAACGAGACTCACAACTTGCTTTCCAGAAAATGGGGCGGCAGGGGAGGGGGAGAAGGACTGAAAGTTGCTGAATAAAACTTATACCATGTGGAACTAGTATTCCCTTTTATTTCTATTAACACTCTGAAAATTTGAATACTTCATCTTCACACATTTTCCCAACCTAAGAGTTTACCCAAACTGAAACAAACTTCTTCCATTGTGTTCATACTGGTCTATTCCTTGTTTTGATGAATAATACTTTTTTTTTTTTAGTACTTTCAAATATAAACAACATTCATGGCCTACAGAAGCCAGAGGAATGTGAAGTACATGAGAAACACTGGAACCTCAAGGCTTACATCTGAGAAAACTCTGTCTCAAATAAGTGTTACTTAAACATGCAGTCCTAATGTGTATTTTTTTTTTTAATTTTATAACCCAGCCACCCATGAAGCCAGAACATCAACACAAACTGGAAATTGGCCTCTACATTCCAAGCAACTTGGATTGGTTAACTAGTTGACCACAATAGACTTCCCATTTTTTTTCTTTTTCAAATTAAATTATATTTTTTATTCAATTGTGGTAAAATATACAACATAAAATGTATCATTTTAAGCATTTTTATTGTACAGTTGTGTGATATTAAAGTAGATGCTAAGGTGTTGGCAATATTGTTGTTTTTAAAGTTGGAAACTTCACAACTTACATTTGTGTTCCATATGTCAAATATTCAAAATATATTTTAAAGGCTAGTAATCTTTATACTGTGCATCATATAATATCCACAACTCCAGATAGATTAAAAATGCAAACATGAAAAACACTACTAATAGAGGAAACTGTGGACAAAATATCTTTATGATCTCAAAACAGAAAAGGATTTCTTAAACAAGACATACACACAGATACAATGCACAAATCATAAATAAAATTAACTATATTAAGATTTTCAATGTCTACATCCCCAAAAGACACACTTAACAAAATAAAAGGCAAGTCACAAACTAGAAGAAACTTGAAGTGCCGTAAAAGAATATAGAAATAATTTTCTAAAATTAATAAGAAATAGAAGTAAAACATGGTTAGGTATGTAATAGGCAAGTTACAGAAAAGGAAACACAAATAAATGGCAGATAAATGAATGTGAAGATGTTCAATCCCACCAGAATCCAGGAAATATGAATAAAAACCACAGTGAAATACAATTTAACATCCACCAGCCTGGCAAAAATATTAAAGTCTGACACCATCAAATATTCCTAGAATAGGGAGCCTAGACAATTCTCACTGCCAGGGAAGTGGCGAGGAGGGGGCTGTGGAGACAAAATGGTACAACCACTTCAGAGAGCAGCCTGGCAATACACGGGAGCACCAGAAGTGCATACATCCTTCTCCAACCCAGACACCCCAGTCCTGGGGATTCACCTTCTCACGTGCACAGGGAGATGTGTACAAGAAGGCTTACTAGAATTCTGTTACTGTGAAAAATTAGAAATGCCCTTAATATCCATCAAGAGAAGACTGAAGAAACAAACTGTTTCAGACTTCTATAATGGAATACTGTAGTAGTAAGTAAATTATAGCAATATGGATACCTCTCAAAAATTGGTTTCATAAAGTGAACTGTAAAATAATATATTACAGTTACAAACATGCAAAGTAGTTCCATACGTTGTGTGTGGATGCATACATACATGCATGTGTGCTTACCGGCCAAGTGACCCTGGGCAAGGGCTAGCAGGACAGTACCAAGAAGAGAAGGGGCGTCAGATGTATCTACAATGTTTTGGGTTTTCTTAAGTGTGGTGGCTAGTGCATGGGTTATAACGTTACTCTATATTTCATCCTGCATAAAACCTTTTAAACTTAAGATAACTAGTTTCTGTGATAAGAAATTTATTCTTTTAAAAGAAGAGGGTGACCATTCAGTGGTATCAGCAGAGCTGGTAGCTAGGAAGATGACAAGGAGTTTCCTTGCTCTCAGTGGGTTCTGATTCTGTGATTACTTACCGCTTTCAAAGTCACTTAATGGTTCCCTCCCTTATTACTAGATAGTACGAGATGGCCCATGCGCTTAGTTACTCACTGCTTATAGTTTTTGCCATCTCTCTCTTTTCTCGGATAAGCTGTTTACGCCTCTCCCGGCATTCTTTGTTGAGTTTTTGCTGCTTAGCATTTTCCTCATGGAGCTGTGTGATTCGTTCTTGCAGCCGGCTCAAGGATTGGTTAGAAAAGACCAGGGTTCCAGAAAGATCAGTAGGTATTTCTCCAAATACCACATGCTCTATCTATCAAAACAAAACAAAACAAAACAAAACAATAAAAACAGAACGAAGATCAAACTAAATGTAAGATCATAGGAAGCACTTCTTTTTCTGTCCCTTATTTAGGTGATTGCCTTTGGATTTCTATCATTCCCCAGCACTGAGTAAAAAGCAGCAGTTGCCTTCAGATAGTAAGCCACATAATGTACCTGTAGGGACAGCAAATCTTACTCCCAGACCATGATATCTGCTGCATACTCATGGAACAAGCATTTCACAGTGGGTGTATTAGGCAAATTGCTACATATGGCTAATCCAGTTTGGATCAGATTACACAAAATATATTTGAGGCTGATCTGAGCTTTTTCTTCTAAAATACAGCTTCCTCTCTTTATCTGACAAAATGGGGTATGAAATGCACCTCTGCACTTTAATATAAGCTGTAATTCTAATGAGTGTGGAAGTGAACAAAGAGAGAAGAAAGAGAAAGGATATTTTCCTTTTCTCTTGCCCTCCCTCATAAACAAGCAGAGATTATGATAATTCTTGCATCATTAGTTCATGTCTATTTGAAGATGGTGTGAAAAGGAACATGTGTATAAGATCCAAGACCTCAACTTCCAAGCCATTCCATTCTTAAGTCATAAGCTCCTTGGGGCACCTGGCTGACTTAGCTGGAAGAGTACTGTGACTCTTAATCTCAGGGTCTTGAGTTTGAGCCTCATATTGGGTGTAGAGATCAGAAAAAAAATAAATATAAAAAATTAAGACATAGGCTCCTGATTTCCTCAGACCCGAAATAATTAATTGGACTTTGGAATTGGTAATGGGCCACCAGGAAATATATATATTTGACTATTACTCTTTCATAACAATCTGAGCATGGATAAGAAAAGTTGGAGTGTCATTATTCAGGTAGAAATCTCAGCAAAGGGCTACACTTCTTCCCATCTTTTCTGGAAAAGCCTGGGTGTGGTGCCTCTTCTGCTTAGATGGTGGGGGCAGCTGGGGGGTGGGGGGGTGACATGACATCCTCTCCAGACCCATCACCTGGTGGAGCTTGAGTGGAATCACAACCATCAGTTCATTCAGCCGCTGCTGCTTCTCTCGTTGGTAAGCCTCCAGGTCCTCCTCCGCTGCATTTAGGTTAGTTGCCACAATTTTTACCTGTGGAAATCCCCATGTGATAAATGTGATAAATGAGGACATCTTGGGAGATGAGTGGGACCTGCTCTGTTGGGCTGTGATTAAATGAATGATCCCAGTTTGCAGCCCAGGAATGTGTATTATTTTCTTCCTGCTAACTCATGATTCATACTACTTTTTCAATCATTCCTGTGTCCCCAGAGTGGTAAATGTTTCATGAATAGGAGTTCAGAAGACATGTTCTATTTCCCTTTTATTTTCTGCATGAAAAGCAGCTCTCAGCATGGAATGTCTTTGTCAAGATGGTGGGAATCTCATCTGGTCATAAATGACCTCAAAAAACAAAAGGAAAAAGTCCTTTAAAGCGCAAAACTACTAACTACAGTACTTATAAAGCACATTCGTCATCTTAAAAAATTGAAAGTTTTCCAAATCATTTCCTACCTGCAAGAGGAGAAGTAATTTATCAAAAATATTTGTGAATATGAATTAAACTATGTTGCCCTAGGAAAAAGGATTTAAGAGGGGAAATGAGCAAATAAGGCAGAAATCAAATCCATCAGCATAATTATACCAAAAGTTTAGCTTTATGTTCTCCAACATGGGATGCACATCCCCCAGAGGGTCAATAAAGTGATCAATAGGCACAGAGGGAAAAAAAGATCAGTTTCTATTTCTATTTATTTTTATCTTATTCTTTTTCATTTCTGTTTTTGTGGATGTTTCCTAATATACAAAATATATTAGTATAATCATTAATATAATCTATAAATAAATATACATATATTGTGGGCTTACATGCTCCACATTTTGTTCTTTACTTATAGAAGTATGTAATAAAAAGTTTGGAGATCAATGATTTAGATAAAGAGAGTCCAATCTTCAAAAGAGTCAACAGCCTCCCCCACCACTATGCTTGAAGAGGAAAAACTTATAACACTTAAATGTTTGTTCTCTGGGGAGAAGGCCTAACTTATGTCTTGCTATGAAACAGCAGTACAGTAGCTGTGAGGGGATAAATAGGTAAGCACACCATCATACTTTTTTGGATAATGCATCATGTTCTTTTTTGAGGTTATCAATACTTTTCCTTTCTTCAACTAAGGCCTCCTCGATGTCCAACCTTTTCTCTCGAAGTTGAAGGGCCATTTCAAAAAGACCCACATCACAATCTGAAAAGACAGTCAAAATTAAAAGAAACCCCATTGTTATAGAATGTACTAATATTAGAAGAGTGGATTTTGGAGCTTCAAAATTATTAATGACCATTTGTGAGTTCACTACCACACTTTCACTCCACCTAGGGCCCCACCATTCCAGGTGGAAAAATTAATAGTATAAGTAATCATGATAGTAATTCTGATACGAGCATTGATGTTCTGAGCAGTACCATGAGCCAGGCTTTCTGTTTAGGCCCTTTATGTACATCATCTCAGTCAAGTCTCCTAGGCTCTTGCAAGGTATAAACTATTGTTCCCACTTTATAGTCGAGGACCCAAAGTCTCAGAGAGGTCACATAGCTGATACATGACACAGCAGGATTCAGGTACTGTATTTCTCTACTAATTTCCACTATATCATGCCACAGTCACATTCATCCACAAAGCAATAGATAAAGTATGTGAAAATAAGAGTACTACAATGGAATTTAGAGACCTTAGTTCTAGCCCTAGTTCCACCACTAAACTAGTTGTGAGACTATTTTCAGGCCATTTAATCCTGCTGTAAAATAAGAAGTTGCATTATAATCTTTTGAGCTCTATTTCACTCATACATATGATCTTAGACAGACTCTTGTTTACAACATTAAAACAAGATTAAAACTTTATTTGAAATTAAACCTTAAAATTTGATTTAAAATCTATATAAAGTGGCTACAAAAATAAATTTCACATCAAAATGAAGTTATTTTTTTCTGTACTGGACAATTCATCTTTTGAGACTATAAAAATATTGGTCTAGCTGTGTCAGACTGGTTTTGCCAATGAAAACAGTGAATATAAATTGCTAAGCATCCCCAAGAACCTGGCACAAAGTACCCTTACAAAAAGGATTTTAAATATGAAAATTTGGTTTGTCAAAAAGAGAAACTTTGTAAAAAAAAAAATACACAGATGCATGCATACACACACTTCAATCTGTTATTTCTGCATAATTTGACTTTGAACCAACTATGAGTTATCTGCAAATTATTTGTCATTCATAAAATGGCTGCCTAAATGAAAAGAAAATAAATGACCCAGAGAGCCAAAAA